TGATCTTATTATATTCATCTTCAAGCTGATTAACTGGAACAAGATCCTCTGATTGTTTAATAACAAAAAATATCATTACCAGCATCAAGATCAACACGAAGTTTGTTATTATATTCGTAAAGTTATTCGTACTTATTTTGCTCTGGATTACTTGTATAAATATAAAATTTATCGTAGTTAAAACTATCTCCAAGAAGTAAATTCATAAAAAAATTTATTTTTTTCCCTACCAAGTTCGTCCAACAATAAGATAATGACAATCTGGATGATCATTTATATGTTTATGTTTCACCAACCGCTCTGTATCAAACTCTAATATCGATGATTTTGCCATTGTTTTTTATACAGTTTTATGTTATGTTAAACTGACTAATGTTAATAATTATATAGGATATTAAATAAATAGTGAACCATTATACAAAATTTAGAACAACATTAGGAGATTCATCAGCAACAATAACAAACTGCAATATTGATTTATCAGGTTACCTAAAAAAAAATCTGGCAACACACTGACAGGAAACCTATGTCAAATAAACGAGTGCTAAATTTAGATACAGCGTATCAGCCAATAAATATTGTTAATACACAAGCTGTTATTTATATACAATTGAATTCCGTCAAAGGTAATAAACTTGACAAATCTGGCGAAACTTTAAGCGGCAATTTAGATATTCCAGGAAAAAAAATATAAATTTAGAGACTGGATACTCACCAGCGAACCTAAATCAAATTCAAGTGTTTAGTTATTTACAGTTGAGGCATGTAGATAATAACAATTTGTCAGCGGAACTTTAAACGGCAACTTAGATATGTCAGGAAAAAACTATTAATTTAGAGACTGGATATCCACCAGAAAACTTAAATTAAACTCAAGCGGTGAGTTATGCACAACTAAAATCCGTCAACGATTATACATTGTCACTGACAGGCGGTACTTTAAGCGTAACTTAGATGTCAGAAAAAAAATGGAGACCAGGCATCCATCAGCAAACTTGAATTATACACAAGCGGTAAATTATTTACAGTTGAAGTATGTGGATGAAAACAAACTTGACAAAATCGGTGAAACGGTTACAGGCAATATTAACATGTCGTGTAAGAAAATTATAAATTTAGAGACTGCATATCCGCCAGAAAACTTAAAACAAACACAAAGTGAAAGTTATGCACAACTAAAATCTGTTGACAATAATAAACTTAAATAAGCTGGCGACACATTGACAGACAACTTATGTCAAATTCAAAAATAACTGGACTGCCAACAACCTCACCTCAAGTTGATGCTGATGTTATTAGTTACACTGAGTTAAGAGAGGAACTTACCCCATATTTTAAGAAATCGGGTTAACCAATGTCAGATAAGATAAACATGAGAGACATAAAGTAACTACTACATATGTTCCAGTTAACCTTAATGATCTGACAAATAAAGTGTATGTTGATAGTCTCTCCTGTGGTATAAAGCGAACTAAAACAATGTTGGGTATATTCCAACATTTTACATAAAAAGTGACAACAGAGCAGGGTGTGAGGTAAGCGCCTTATCATATTTTCCTGAAAATTATCCTTTTTACGCATTCTCTAATAGACATGAGTGGACGACCAACGGAAAAGTTGAAAATTTTTTAATCAAACTTAAACGTCCTACGGCATTTGCTATTTGACAATTTCATTTGCACGGCATATTAAACTCTGGTGTTGGTCGAATTTATAATTGGCCAGAATCAAACAATGATATTGACTTGGTAACATCATATAGTGCAGCTAATATGTATATTACAATAGCACAAGATTTTACAATTTCAACTGTGAATACTGTTAAAAAGTACTTATATTTCCTGGTTAATGTTTTTGTAGCTGAACATCCGTTTCAACAACTAACAGCATTTCTTTCAAATATATACAATCGATGAACAAATTTAATCGAATGCTATAAAATGTCAGTACAAAAGTTAAAACAATATTTCGAAAACTTTGCGACAAAATTTTATGATTATATTTTTAACCCGAGAAAAGCTGTTGGAGATAATTCACTAGCAGCACGTGGGATAAATACCAGAAAAAAATTCAATTCCAATGATTAACTCTCCATTGTCAGAAGAAGAAAACATTTATAAATGTTATGTATATGCGGGGACCACAGCTAAAAGAAGCAATATAAATTTTAAAGCGACGATCGAATACTGCTATCCTGATGATTGTCTAGAAAAACAAAACCAGGTTGAAATTATATTTAAAACATATTGATCGAGCTTGATTTGTGAAATTTAGACTTGATAATAATATCGGATTTAATAAAAGAACGAGCATACGGTGAAAAAGAAGATATGAGAAGACAAGCAAACTATAGCCGTGATATTCTCGACAGGCTAGCCGAATCTGTGATAATAAGAATAAAAGAAAAAAGAAATTATATTATAGTTTTTTTTAAAAGCAAAAACATTTTTAAGTATCTCAGCACAAACTACCACTACAAAAGCCCAAATTAAAATCGTAACTATGACACAAGACACCGAGTTAATTTATAAAGTGTACGCAATCATAACTATGAAAACGATACGTAAAAGACCAAAATTTGATCCGATTATTATTGACATGTCTCTAAAAAATAATCAAAGATTTTGACAATGAAATTTGGGATCTAAATGATATTGAGCGAGAAAACTTGGTTTTACAAAGTCAAATAAAGTTGGAAGTAAACATTGATTCTTATTACGACGTAGGTGAAAAAAATTATATTTCATTACCATCACTTCAGTGTTCTAGACAATTGTCATTACAAAATTATTACAATGAAATTGAAACAATATTAACATACCCATACAGATTGTTATCGGATCAAACTGTCTCTTTTAAGAATTACTCCCGTTGTATCTTTAAATGTGGGAGTTTTAAGAAAAGAAGCGCTCCAAAAATTAATGCTAGCAAATTTTGTAGTATCATATCCAATTATCAGACAATATCTAGTTTTAAAATATTTCACTCTAGATCAAATAAGTTTGGTATTATAGTATATTGATGAAACAGAAAGCGATTAGAGTAATTTGGTGAATAAAACATATTTGTATGCGGTTGAAGTAGGAAATACTTTTGACTCGTACACTTGGTTAAAGAAAAATGAGGTACTAACAGATGAACAATATGAGAATACTTCATCAGATATTTATAACATATATAGAATTTGTATAGATGATCAGAAGAATAATAAATTTCGAGACTTTCTTGATTCAATTGCTGGCATCAGAACTTTTGTTTTTGTACAAAATATTGCATAATGAAGAAACATATCATTGATTTCAATCAAACTTCAGAAGAAATTCCAAAACAAGATGTTGACGAACTAGTACAATATTATCATGAAAACATCTGGTTTGTAAAAGAATGTTATAAATACGACCGTATAATACTTCGAGTAATATAATATTTGTCATTGTTAATCACTAGCACTGGTATAATCTCAAGTGGAGCATTATTAAATCGGTTTTTTGTTAATAATATCTGGTGTCAGTATCTCTCTTTCAACACTTGTGAAACCTAATATTGACACAAATAAATTCTTGTAAAACAGCAAGTATACAAGAAATAAATTTGATTAAATACTATCTAATTTGAGAGGTGTAAAATATGATATGGATGATTTAATACGAGAGTTTCGTATTATGGACGGTGTGTTAACGGATATCCTACCAATGAGAGTCAGCAAGTATAAAAAGATTGGTTACAGCAGTAGATGCTTATGCTTGACTTTTAGCTCTAGAAACATTATTATCAACCATATTGTCAATAAATGTCTGACCAACCGTCATTTTCAGTTGCGATGTTCAATAAAAAAAGGTTTATTCTTTCTCCGACAAATCTTCTCTCTCCAAATTGGGGTGGGGTCTCCTCTACAAGATCGAATGAAATTCATGACCCCTCTTTTAGTCTTGAGCTGAAAATGACTCCTTAATAAGGTTACAAAATAGAAAATTTTATAGAATTCTCGGTTTGATTTAAGATCTGCCTATTTAACTACTACTCATAAGATATTCACCCGCTTTATATTAGAACTTTTCATGAAAGTCTGTACATTAATATCATAACACATTCAGTCGTATTGTATTAGAACTTTCATGGAAACACTCTATATAAATATCGTGACACATTCGGCCGCATTCTAATAGAACTTTTCATGAAAGTCTGTGCATTAATATCATAATACATTCAGTCGTATTGTATTAGGACCATTCATGAAACTCTGTACATGATCACAGTCACATTAAGTTAATATCACTTTTCATGGGAATTGCCTTGATACAAATTATCACACATTTAGTGTTGATATCACATTTAGCCTTATCATATTCCTCAACAATGATAATGTATTCTGTTGTTGTTGTTGTTGTTGTTGTTGTTGTTGTTGTTGTTGGGCTTAACGCCATTTTTCAGCACACGATAGGCTATTCATGGCGGCCAGTATTAATGGTGGAGGAAGAAACCGGAAATTCACCGGAAAGAACCACCGACCCACGAGAAGTTACTTGCAAGCTCTCTCACATATCCGCATTCGCCGAATCTTAGATTCGAACCCACGCAGACAGAGGTGGGATGGCAGTGATTCGTAACGGACAGCGCTTTAGACCACTCAGCCACTCGGAGCCCTTACTATATTCTGTAAAATATTTGACTGGTAGACATAATTTGCCTATTTTGTTGAACCCATGACGTCATCATACATGTATGTACTATAATCTTATTACATATACATGACATGTGGTTTATGGGTGTATATGTGTGTGCTTTTGATTTTTTACGTATCCTTAACAATGTTTCAATCATGTCGTTGCGATGTGTGCAGTGGAACAGTTTATCGTGATGTCTATCACTGAGACATAATGCCGCAGACATCTAAGATTATGTCCCACCCTGTAACATTATCCTGACACCAGGGCTACTAACCTGTTAATTCAGAGCGCCTAGCGAAGCGGCTGCAAGTACCACTTTATAAGTCTTAGGTATGACTCGGCCGGGATTTGAACCCGTGACTTCCCGCATCCAAAGCGGACTCAGTAATCACTAGGCCACCGGAGTGGTC